TGCGGACGACTTGAAATCCTGGATTTATGGTACCAGTGCCCTCTAGATTGGATGTAGACACTGCGAAGCAATGGTCGTTGGACTGACACATTCCTCTGAATGAGGAAAAATGCGTCCATATGTCATTCGGATGGAACGCCTTTGTCGTAAATGGAGAGGATTGGCCAGAAGACATCACAAGGATGGATGCAAAGGAATGGATGAAGGAAGCAAAGAAGTGGGTAACCTTGACCTGGCAGAGGGGAATGAAAGAAATCACGAAAGGTTTGGGTGCCGTTGGTGCTACTCGTCTTCCAGGATACGGACCACGTGATCCTTATCACACCTGGTTGCAGGCGCTGCAAGATGACTGCCAATCGTTGTCAGTGGCGATCTTGTGGTCAGTTTCTATCCAGACTGCCAGAATGAGTGTTTGGAGATGTATGCACATCGGAATGATTGTAGTAAGCTAGCACTAAGTCCCTTCCCCATCCACCTTTCTTTTCTTCAAAATGAGGTTTTTAATAAATCATGGTTGTACAGCAACGAAGGACCGGTATTGAACATTGATGTCTTGCTCTTGATTATGATGATGATGAGCTTGCTCTCTTCAAATATGTCCTCACTGCACCATGAGAAGTCGGCTCAAATGGCATTCGCTGTTCTACGGATGATTTGGTGCACCTTCCCCCATATTACTCGCATGGACTTCCAAATACATTATGCGGCTCGTGTCAGACCACTTCTTGCATATTCCAACCAAGTTGTCTACCCAGGATGCAAGGACGTAACTCTCAATGAGCGTGCCCAACGCGCTGCTACTAAAGCGGTTGCAGGCCTTAAATCCGTGGGGTCCAAAACAAGTCTCTTGGTACTTGAACTCTTGCCCCTTGAGTATCGTCGCCTCCGAGGAAACCTGATGCCCACTTATGCCTTGTTTGAACAAGGTTTGACTAACAGATTTTCACCGTTGTCCCAGCTAACACACGGCGGGACATGATAATTCTTATCATTATTAATATTTTCAAGCTCAGAGCACACAATGTTATTACGCGAATTTTTTCTTCCTTGAGAAGTTTCTGCGTGGAGTCCATGCTCCACCTAGAGTCCAGTTCAAAGCTCTTTGTGTCTAGTACTAGACACCTTTTATGCGGGTCCTCGCGCTGGCAAGCACACTGCCCCGCGCTTAGAACTTAAAGAGCAGTGCTGCATACTTTTTTTGCTTGTGCCTTTCAGGTGAATGTCAGCTGCTGAACGACAAGAAGAAAACCGACCCGAGAAACGGGTGAAAACCTCGATCCTATGTATCAATCCGTGAAAATTTTGGATGGCACAGCAGCGCCTCTGGCTCCAAATTCACCGACCGCGTAGACACTGAAGAACAATGATAACAACTAGTGGCAAACCTGGACATTCTATAAAGCTATTTTAAACTGATTCGTACGCCAAAACCGTCTTCGCATCCACAATTAGGCGCTGCAACAAACAGCACACCCAACCCGCAAGCGGTTGTCTGATCCAGCATGAAATCAAGTCCCGATTGGCTGAAAAAGTGGGCCTAACAGCCAACCAAATTCCAGTAGGTAGCAGCCAATGGGACTCCCAGACAGCGTCCGAGACTATGGTGGAGTGGCCACTGTGGTGAACGGTGCGTACCTGTTGACGTAAGTGTAAGTATTGGTGGTGGACAATATATATATATATA